CCCTGTCCGGGCATCGGGCGAGTGACTTCCGCGTCTGGTGCCCTTTGTACTAATAGCTGTCCCCCAAAGTCGACGCCATTAAGCTTCTCGTTCGACATCTCAGTGATGTTGAGCCGCCGACCCTTTGCGAAAAGGTTGATTTTGGTGTATCCCGATACGTGACATAATCTTTGGTAGAGGTCCTTTACTGTATGATCCGCACCCATCATCACGACTTGCCTGTCGTTGCCGCACTGAAACCGGATCGCGATCGCGTCACCGTAAGGTATGTCTGTTTCGTCGACTTTGGAATCTGCTCTCCGACTTCGGTTGAACTCTGGTTTGTGGCGTATCTTCTCCAGCAGTAGTTTCTGAAAGTTAATGATCCTGCGATAACGCTCTTCATTCTCAAGAACCATCTTCTCAGTTGCAGTCACATCCATATTCGATAAGTCTCCATTGGAGGATTGAACGCGTATGAGCCTGCATGCCGAATGCATCTCCTGCATACATCTTTCCACTAGAACGACATGAGCGGCTTCCACATCTGCTAGCATAACGCCATCGGCTTCGTTGATCTGTACGTAGCGACTGGCAAGAAGACGGGCGGCGCGATCCTCAATAGTGCCTTCCGGTGAGGATAAAACCATGGACCACAGCACGTCTGCACCGGGGATCTGTAACACACCCTTTTCTCCTTGATCAGTCCCCACGAGCTGCCGCTTCATCGGGAAATTATAGTTGGCAACAAATTCGAACATGCCATTCGTGTAAATGCCGGTGTTCATGTGTATTATATGGGAAGAGACAAGTTGTCTGCAGTAGTTGTTGTCCGGGGCGAATTTGAGCGTCTGGGATAATTGCGCCCATGCCAAATCCCTGGTAGTGTTCGATAGCGCACGCGTACCGATTGTGTAGTCCCACAGCTGCTCATACATCTCAACGGGTATGGCTGACCCAGCGCAACAGATCATAAGTGCTAGAAGCTCCAATCTGCAACATAGAGCTGTTTGTTGACGTAGGGATGATTCGGCACTCCTCTCAGTCTCGACAAACCATGCGATCTCATCCAGAATCTTGCGTGTGACATCCTGATTCTTTTGGAAAAAATTCTCGTCTTCAGAAGGGATTGGTGCGGCGAGCGCGTAGATGACTTTTGCGCTTCCAGTCGCTTTCGTCGAATGACTGTAAATGTGATCCGCACAATCTCTGTAGATGGAATGGCGCTCTTCAACAGAGACATTAGGAGCCAGAGCTGACAGGTAATTAGCAGCCTCGTGATGCAGGTCTAACATGTCTTTGTCCGTATCCGCCTGGCACATTGTGTCACGGATGATGCGGGTGCAAACATTCCATGGCCTAGCAGTATCTTCTCTCGCAGCATAATCTTCCGGTGATGCTTTCTCCAGGATCTTTGGGCCCAGCTCCCGCAGGAATCGAGTAATATCCACGGTGTAGCTCCTGATAGGCAATTCATAAAGTTTCGTACAAAAGTACAAGTGATCTGCAGGCCTCATCATGTGCATGATTGCTCTAAGCATGGCCAGTGTCGCGGTAACGACACGAGGGTCAGGACTATTGGCAACGGTGTTCCAGATAGCATCCGCTTGGTCATCTGTCCAACGTCTAGTTACGACAAGAAAACCAACGATGTTACCGCTGCGCGCGATCAGTTGCGGGTGTGAGTCGACGCTGACAATGTAGTCAACGACGTTCCCATAAAGCAGAAAGTCGGCTAGATATCGCATGACGGGGTGTTCGCCTGTCGAATCGGGGTTGTTGTACTGTCTCCAGATCTCTACCAAGGAAACATCCATCATAGCTATACTCATGACGCGTAGATCCATCTTACCTTTGGTGAGGTATCGGCGCAGAAGCTTGAACTTCCAAGCGTTGGCGACTAAAGCTGGAAAGTACTGAGGCTCATCGCGATACTGGTGTTCGGGTCCAGTACGATCGACTTCGGTCGGAGAAGAAGTAGTCGGCGAATCTACGCTCCTGAAGTCGAGGAACTTGTCCACCAGATCCGATTCGATATCCTTATCCCAGAGACAGAGCTCAAATAATAGCGCGTGAAAGTACTGAATCAAGTCTCGAGCGGAGACAGCATCGGTGGTTCTACTCAAGTCGAAGAGGTCGTCCATGTATTTCTCCAAGAATTGCAATATTCCGCGACAGAACTCGGAGCGATTGGGGTCAGTCGCAGGGCTAGGATCCTGGAACATCGAGCCGCCCAATGAAGTCAGGACCGGGGCGGCAACCAACGCAATCTGGGTTTGCACGTTCAATGGCACGCGGTGGAAGGCCTCGCTGGATAGCCGTAAGATATTTTGGGCACCGTTGGCAGCCATAAAATCCTTTTGTAACAATCCGATCATTTTGCGAACATCGACAGAATATTCTTTGCTCACCATAGCGAATACAGGTGCCTTGTCCGGGCGAAGAATGGTATACCAGTTTCGCATATGCTTCTGACTAAGAAGAGGCAAAGAATATATCTCGCCGGGACGAGGTTGGGAGAGTAGCCATACGTCGGCGAGGAGGAGGAGGGAGCATGCCCTGATGTAGGCACTGAGGAAAGCGTAGAACATGTCGCCCGCACGACGATCATCCAAATGGTGGCTAAACGTAGCCCTGCGTGAGAGCAAATTGTGCACCAGTCCAGCGAGGTCGTCCCAAAACATGGCCTTGCTCGTATAGAAACCGTGTAAGTCTACCTGGGGGCCAGGCTCGGGTAGATCGGTCAGCCATTGCGAAATGCTGGGAAAGAAGTGGGGATCGATGTCGTTGTCAACTGAAACATTTTAGTATCGCAGGCGTTTAGTGGATGTGAGACATGACTTACCTCCTTGAACGTGGTTGGCCAGGTCGCGAACAACCGTGGAGTAACTCCCGTGGTGTGCGTAGGGGAACCGGCGAAAATAATCTTCTGCGTCCACCTGCACGGAGAAGGCGTCTGCTTCATCGTCGTCGTCTATTATCATGATGGGCGGACTCCCGCGCTCGTCCTCGGAACTAGTAATGAGTATTGGAGACTGGCCCGGGGTAGGAGAAGCAGCCTCGAGAAAGTTGTCAGGATTGGTGTAGTCCTCATCTCCACCGTGTACCGGAGAAGAGGGCGGGTGTGAGCGTATTGTCATTTCTACCTGCTTTTCCGAGGGCGACATGGCGGTGTTGACGGGAGTTTGTGGGTCGGTAGGCATAGCGCATAGACTGTTGCTCCCGCTGTGTAGGCGGGGGCGTTTGCGGGTGAAGCTTGCGTCGGCGTCTTCAATCGAGTCGCGGCGCGGCGGCGAGGCAGAGGCGGTGGTTGGCGGCTCGTCTGCAGCGACAGGCTGCACTGTGTCGTTGTCCGGCGCGGTCATGACGGTAGAGGGCAGGCGGTGCTGTTTGCGAAAGGACTAGGCGTGGCCGGCGACTGTTAACACGCGTGCAGGCAGGTGAGGCCAGGCAGAGGCAAGCAGTTCCCCAGTACAGGCAACAGCAGCAGCTCCCAGCCTTAGTGACCGATAGCCCCGCGCGGCGGCAGGGAAAACGCGGGGGGATTGGGTCTCATTAGCGTCAGCGACTGCAACACAGTGAATTGAGGGTATGCGCTCCGAAGGAAACGGTTCCAGTTGGTAGGCAGAGCTTCAGATATTCGGACGCGTAGCTGAGAAACCCCACTATCGTCATCCTGGTTCGTTCCCGCTGTGGAGCTAGCGCGCCGCTAGCGAGGGTGCGCTAAGCCCTATCCGTCCAAGAGCGAGAAATCCTCCTTCTAATGCAAGGCACGCCGGTCTACTCCACCTTACAAGTCTCACTTATCTAGACTGAGTACTGACAAGGCTTCGGGCGCACTTCGGTCAGCTTGAAAACTACTTTTGCTGTTTCGACGTTGACGACGTGACCATCACCACGGTCAGTGGTACGAGGAAGAAGGGTCAGAGAGCACACAATTCGTCATGGCCCCTGCGACGAAACAAACGGCAAAGGCCAATGCAAAACCTGTGTTCAAGACATCGTCGCCGTTTTCTGAGACGCAGTGGTGGGTGGTACTATGCTTCAACCCACGAGCTATGCTGATTTGTACAGGCCCGAGATCACACGCGAGGACGAAGAAGTCATATTAGAATTGCTATCCAAGTAGGTACGCAGAGAGGAGCTTCATGAACCCGCGCCCGCCGATTTCTGACAGTTGCATCACAAGTTCTCCCAATTCGGTCATTAACAATTCCATAGTCTTCTTACGCCTTTAGGTGACCATCGCAGAACCTATATCCACCCATCCAAAGGCAAGAAGCGCAAACGTAACAGCAAGGCAAACGAGGATGGCCCCGAGAACACACCCCCATCACCGGAAATTGGCAATCACTTGCTCGTTGGCATCAACAGTGTCACTCGGCATCTAGAGGCCTTGGCCGCAGAAAACGCTCCGACTACAGCACCTGTTTCGTATCCCGAGTCTGCTCTAGAGGGCACCAAAGAAAAACACCCGACGACAGACTGTTCCAAAGAATCTCTCAGACCTTTAAGCATGGTCATACTAACACACCCCAAGCCCTCATTATCACCCGCACATGCCCACTTCCCAACGCTGGTCCACTTGTCGGCTCTCTCCCCATCATCTGCTGCTTCGGCCACATCCGAGACAGCTACACGACTCATTCCATTGCAGACGACAGCGGATACCCGGCTCGCGTCTAGCTTACACGTTCCCCGAGTAGGTGCCTTGGGAATTTACACAGGTGCGCCGGGAGCGAAAACATTGGAGCTATACGTCCGCGAGCACATTGGGCTGACAGAGTGCAAGTGGGTCGGCGAGGCTATGAGCGCAGAGTGGAAGGGATTGAATGTCAATAGCGAGATCCCTGGCTCAAAGTAGGTGACAATATAAGGGCAAAAATAATATTGGGTTCTTTGGTATAGAAATATTTCGACGCTCGTGAGGGATCAACAAAACGCCTGCAATGCACATTCTTCAAGTTCAATAGCTGCTCCTGGTAGATCAGTGATTGTTCGAAGAAAAAAGAGTACTGCGCTCATCCCAGGAAGTTCTGGACAGCACCTCCGACGTTCTGAAGATCTAGCAAGAACGTGTCATGGCCGAATAAGCTCTTCTCCTCTCCAAGCTCGATGTGCGTGACGTTCTTGTTGCCAGTGCGCTTGAGTGTCGTTGCAATTTCCTTTTGCTGCCAAGCAGGGAAAAGAATATCACTGGCGACACCTAGAACAAGAGTTGGAGTATTCGCGAGTGGCTTCAGACCTGCCACGAGGTCGGCCGGTGGTTCGTTTCCGTCAGTCTGAGCTACAGCATCGATGTCGGCGGGCTGCTCCTTCTCCTCATAGGGCTGATCAGGCAAAGTCAGACTGCAGACGTCGCTGCTGGTGTCGGATGTGATATCATGGCCGTCCAAGTATGCCTGCATTTTACCGCTGTTCGCCTTGCGCACCTCGTTGATGCGGTTACGGTGCTCTTGTCCCAGATCGAATAGATCCATAGCCTTCGAAACGTAGAGCAAGCTGTTTGGATCGTACTCCAGACACCATTTTTCTCCCGCATGATCGAGGTATGTTTCAATGAGGAAGTCGGGGCAGAGAGCAGGTGGTCGCGAAGGATCGGCACGCCGGCGGCCAAATCGCTGCTCCCATTCGGGACCACTCCGATACGTGACTGTAGCGATTTCTCGGGCAAGCTTCATACCGCCGTGTGGAGGAATACCGTCATAGTAAAAACCGCGAGCCCAGTTGGGGTCCATCATGAGTACTAGTTGCACGTCAACGATTGCGCATGGCTGACCTAGAGTGTTTGTACTGACCTTGCCGCTGAGTGTGTCTCATGGCGATACTGTATGGGTGGCTGCGCGCACATCCGCTGATGCTAACGAGACGGCCCACCCGTTCCGGGAAAAGCGTTCCAGCTGCCAGACTCTGCATGCCACCCATGCTCGATCCTACACTCGCGTACAGCTTCTGTATGCCGAGGTTATCCAGTAGTCGGAACTGCGCGCGTACCATGTCCTCCATTGTAAGAATCGGAAATCGAGTCGCGTAACGCTCGCCGTTCGCGGGGTCGATCGAAGAAGGCCCAGTCGAGCCGTAGCAGCCTCCAATGACATTTGTGCAGATGACGAAATACTTGTTGGTGTCTAGAGGCTTCCCAGGCCCAATGAACTTCTCCCACCACCCTGGCTTCGTATTCGTCTCTGTGCTGTGGGCATGACTAGATGCGGATAATCCAGTGTGCAGCAAGATGGCATTGCTCTTGTTGGAGTCCAGCTGCCCCCACGTTTCATATGCGATGTTGAACTCTGGCAGTATGCCGCCCCAGTCGAGCAGAATAGGCTGGGTCGAATGGAAGTTTAGCGTGTGTCCGGAGGTATACGAGGGCTCGGGCCCTGAGGACGCTCGTTTTCTTGAGAGAGACGCAGAGCGAGATTCGTGCGCGTCGAGGCATGGGAAGGATAGGGCGGGGTTTGAAGATTCGACTTCTTGGGCGGCAGCGGCGTGTTGGGCTTTCCGTGGTGTCTGCTGGTGCAGCTGTCTAGTAGCTTGGTTCGACTGCTGCCTCGCAAACAGCAGCAAAGTCTGAGATGGTCTCTTGGCGAAGCATCGAGTAGTGGTTGCGGTTCGTGATGCTCGCGCGCTGGCGAACAAACTACGGGGAACGCTCATGGCTGTTGCCCAGATGAAGCGCGTATCAAGGGCAGAGGTATGCGAGGGTGGAGACAGTACAGAGACACCATGATGACGCTATATTCACGATTACAAACGGGCTGGACCGTTGACGGACCCGTCGCGCGGAAACTGATGGGAATGCGACGATGTCGGATCCAATGACGTCGCGGGGAAATTGCGTGCTTCCCTCGCACCATGCCCGTCCTGCCAGCCTTCTTTAGGTAAGCACCCGCCTCTACGAAGACCTCGGGAACATCACGCCAAAAGACACCGTGCGCAACATGACCGAATCGAGAGATATCGAACGGGGAAGCACATGTCGGTCCCCAGCGGAGATGTTCGGCGGCATAGCTTCTTGCGCATCACGCCTCGAGACCGCTCCTTGAACGAACCAAACGATAACTCAGCAGAACGCAAGGTGCAACTTGAGCTCCTACACCCATTCGCATTTTGCTAGGACCTACCTACATTTGGGGCGTTCATCAATGTCTGCAGTGCTTTTGCCGCACAGAACTTGAGGAGCACAAGAAATGTGCTAGCATGCAGTCCAGGACCTAAGATTCGAGAGCACCTGTATGTAGGCTCGCAATCGAGATGTACCATCCAAGCATTGCTTGGATCGCCTACATCACCAGGAACGAGATAACCCGAGCAGTATGCATTGTAGTTTGGTTGATTCGAAGAGTACCAAGGTCGAATGTTCGGGCCTTGGAAACATCATGTCGAACTTAGGGCGATCGATCGAGCTCTTACGACAAGAACCGTGCACGTCTTCTAATGGAAAAGGAGGTGCAGGGCGTGACCGCCATGACATGTTAGTTATTGAGTTGCAACAAGGGTCGCTTGTGATGGCGAGATAGCGTAGCCGGCTCGTGACTCTAAGCGCCGTGCAAATGGGTGCTCAGGTGGTGTTGTACTGTGCCTAAGGCGTACACGGTGCATCTCTGCGTGACAGGTGATGGCGGCTGAAGATACATGGAAGGAAAACTGGACCGCTCCGTGCTACGCAGCACTCGAGGGTGCGGGTCTCAGCCATTGGTTTTGCGCTTGTTGGTGTCGAAGGAACCACGGCGGTTTGGCGTTCGCAAAGACAATACAATGGCATGAAACATGATGGCCTGCGCCAGACCCCTTGGGACGTTTGACGACGAGCGTCTAATTATGGACTGCACGCAAGACCGTAGACGCAGCACAGGAGATTTACCATGCAGACTAGGCTCAGTCGTCTCAAGTGCATATGCAGGGATGGTGATGTGAAGCTTGGAAATGGACGTCTGAGGTTGCCAGGGCTGAGAGATGTCTTGGCTGGCCGCCGGCGTCACTCAGTCGCGCCTGCCCACTCGAAACCTCCGCAGACCTCCTTCCCTTCGTTCCAGCGTGACTGCCGCCATATTTGCGCCCCGTTGGACGACATCGATACCCGTCCGCCGCCCCTGCCGTTCTGCCATTCGCTGCTACACAGAGAGCGCCGTGCCGTCTAGGGAACGCCATACCGCTTCCGAAGTCTGCAAGACCGCCGTCATGGACTCGTCAGACTACTTCACACCCGTCCGGGAAGACCGAGATGCCCCAGGGCCGCCGACTGAAGACTCTGACACCGACATGGCCGCCTCTGCCACCGCTACAGCCTCGTCCTCGCGCTCCACCATGTACACATCACCACACCCGCGCAAGCCCGGCCGCATGTCTCGATCGGGAGCACCACGGCCCATACTCACACCCAACAGCCCCCTGAGCTCGACGATACCGCACAATCTCCTCCCCTCTGCGCCCGCCTCACCGCCTACGCCTGCGCCGAGTCCGACACCGACCCAGCGGGTGCCCGACTGGAGCACCGCCGCCGAACACGAAGATGGAGACATCAAGAGCATACGGGCGCAGTTTGGCGACATGAACAGAGCCGAGCGGATGCGCCTGCTGGGCGAGCTGCTCAATTTGTGCGACAGCCAGGAGCTCAGCTTTGTTGCCGAATTCGTCAGTCCTAGATTGAAGAAGGACCCCTTCATGGTTCTGCCTACCGAACTCTGCTTAAGAGTGCGTTTTGTACACATTCCCCGTATAGTCCCGATCGCTGACACATCGCACAGATTCTGGAATGTGTAGACGACCCCACTACCCTCGCTCGGGCATCGCAGGTATCCAAGAAGTGGCGCGAACTCGTCAATGACGACAGCGCCTGGCGGTTACTGTGCCAGAAGTACTCCTTCAGGGCTCTGTCGAGAGAAGAAAGAATTGAGGAAGACGACACAACCGACGAGATGGAGGACACCGACTCAAAGTCATGGTGGCAGAACGACGAGCGCGCACCGAGGGTAGAGGACGTCGCTACGAGAGAACATCTTGAGGTCGGCCCGTCCAACGGCGGTGCTGATGGTCTGCGGACGCAGAGCCTGGACCGAGCCGCGAAGAGGAAGCCTTCACAACGAAAACAACAAGCAACCACATACCGGTCGCATTTCAAGCAGCGGTACATGGTTGAGACGGCGTGGCGGAATGGAGGAGTGTGCGATGCGCGGCAGATTACTCCGGATCAGGGCGTAGTAACCAGTCTACACCTGACCAACAAGTACATTGTGGTTGCACTTGACAACGCGAAGATCCACGTCTTCGATACTGTCGGCGACCATCAGAAGACGCTCCAGGGACACGTCATGGGTGTATGGGCTATGGTGCCTTGGGGCGACCTTCTAGTCAGCGGTGGATGCGATCGCGATGTGCGCGTCTGGAATCTTGCAACTGGGTAAGTTGTTCTGCCGTCTCCCCCATGATAGCAACTAACAGAGGTTGTCAGCTTTCCCCAGTTCACTCTGCGCGGTCATACTTCGACTGTGCGATGCTTGAAGATGTCCGATGCGAACACGGCTATATCCGGCTCAAGGGATACCACACTGCGCATCTGGGATCTCAAGAAGGGCCTATGCAAGCATGTACTCATTGGTCACCAGGCTAGCGTCCGATGCCTCGAAATACACGGTGACATCGTTGTGTCCGGCAGCTACGACACCACAGCCAAGATTTGGAGCATATCCGAGGGCAAGTGCCTGCGCACACTCACTGGCCACTTTAGTCAGATATATGCGATCGCCTTTGACGGGAAGAAGATTGCAACAGGCAGTCTGGACACCAGTGTCCGGATATGGGATCCCAATGATGGGTAAGTCCGCTCGCGTGCCACAACATTATCGAAACTAACTCTCTCGTGTAGCAAATGCCTCGCTGTACTACAGGGCCACACCTCGCTTGTCGGGCAGCTTCAGATGCGTGACGACATTCTTGTAACTGGTGGATCAGACGGCTCGGTCCGCGTGTGGAGCCTCGCAACGTACCAGGCTATTCATCGACTAGCTGCCCACGACAACAGCGTTACGAGTCTACAATTCGACAACACCAGGATTGTCAGCGGTGGCAGCGATGGTCGCGTCAAGGTCTGGGATCTAAAGACCGGTGTTCCCGTCCGAGAGCTAAGCAGCCCTGCCGAGGCCGTTTGGAGGGTGGTGTTTGAGGAAGAGAAGGCCGTCATAATGGCCAGCCGGGGCGGTCGGACAATCATGGAGGTAAGCTTGAAGCACGCAATTACTATTACCACAACATACTAATCCGTCTAGGTATGGGACTTCTCGCCCCCTGCCGAAGAGGACTTCGACTCCCGATCCTCTACACCAGCGAGCATGCCCGATCATCTCGCCGAATACAACCGGCCGCGGTCCGCCATACTTCCTGCAACTTCGCCGCTCGTGCAGGATACGGGCGCTGGCGACGTTACCATGGGCGACGCAAGCGATTCATAATACAACAATAGACTTGCAGAGCACTAGCAGTGCAGTAAAGGCCGTTAGGCGCTGTCATTCCATTGCCGCCGGAGCTCGCATCCAGGGCCTCGACAATAGCTGGAGGCTTCCACACGGGGAGGTCCGGTAGAAACCGATATGGACGGCACTAGTCGAGTTACAAGGCCTACAGCCGAGCATCCACCACCAGCGTGGAGCGATATCTCCGGACTCACGATGAGCCCATCCGCGTTTACAAACGTGATAACGAACCGACCGATTTGTTGTTCGATTATAGCTCCATGGCCGGTCACGCACACCTGAGACCATATGGTTGGCATCCGTAATGGGGAATTGAACTGTGCGAAAGATCGATGAACAGCTTGCATATGGGGCGTCTTGTTGCATCCACAGCCCATATCTGGTATATAACAGGAAGAGCTTGGATTTGTTTGGACTTTTGTTTCTTCGAAAATGTATGCATGATATAGGAGCGTGGACTTTTGAATGACTTGGGGCCGGATAAAGGCAGGGGAGTTCAATGTGAATAGAATGTCAATACTCTTCAAATAATCCAATGTGTTCGGAAGGTTGTGTATGTGTTAAGCTTCACTGAATGGATCGAAAGGTAACATCTCGATACCTTGTTAGCCAGACAAATCCTGTACGCAGCCTCCCGTAATGATGCTTGAACTTGAAATTATAATATCTCCCGTTGATTTTGCAATGAAAGACCGACTATTTACAAACGCGCGATACTCAAGACTGCCCAAAGTGCTTACTGTTGAACTGATCAACAATTCCTCTTGCAGCTTTGACAATCTCCACAGCCCCAGGCGAATCCGAGTGGCAGCACATCGAGACCTCGTGGTCCCCTATAGGAAGTTGCAGCTCCTCGCCGGTAACAGCCGTGACAGTTGCAGTTTCTACCTGACTCTGAATGTGCTTTCTCGCCTCTTCTGGAAGCCATGGTCTGCACACAGTCAGCATTGCACTCAATGGAAGCATACGCATGCAACATACCTCTTCTTACGGTCGATTACCAAGGTCTTGTCCTTGTTGTACTTGACATCTCCGTAAAGCTCTGCTACGAACGGCAATCCAAGCTCTTTCGCAACCTCTTCGTGCAGAGTTCCCGCAAGACCAAATACTGTTGTTCCTTTGGGCACACCAGCATAAACTGCACGGCACACTTCCCTGTCCCGATACATCATCCCGTACAATACGCCATGGGGCTTGACATGATGTAAGGGCACATCTTCTGCATCCAAAAACGCTTTCAACGCGCCGACTTGATAGCGAACAGCAGCTGTCAGTTCTTCCGGCGACATTTTGATCTCGCGTCGGCCGAAGCCTTGAATGTCTGGGAGGCCAGGATGTGCACCGATTTTGATGTTGTGCTTTTTGCAGGCCAATACTGTCTGGTGCATAATCAATGGGTCCCTGATTACTTGTCGTCAGTAGAGTGGAATTGAAGATATTGATACAAGGGTTTCACGTACCCAGCGTGGAAACCACAGGCTATGTTTGCATGGTCAATAAGTGGAATTAACTCATCATCTGGCCCGCATTTGAAGTTTCCGTATCCTTCACCCAGATCCACGTTGATCTTTACAGGATGCTTGATAGCTGGCATTGTAGACCCTTGTACGAAGAAATTCGTTAGCTGGTGAGAGTGAAGCACTACGGTTGGAGTACGAAGTGTCTTGCGTTGGTTCTCGAGTAGGTCATCAGATGCGCGTGTAGTGGTAGCGGAGAGAGTTGGAGTAGTTGGAGTAATCCGCTCGGACCGGAGGTCATGCTTTCATACCATTCCAAAGTCATACTCGGCGTTATCCCGCAATGGTCGAACTTTCCCCACAGCTGTTAAACGCGCTGCACGCGTAGCGTCATCCTCCAATCCATGGATGCTTGTTATCGACCCCGCCTCTCGAACGTCGGCGGTGACGTCTGCATCACCGGAGACACCCCGGGAGAAAGCCTACGCGTTTGGTAAAGCACCAATGACAATGCCTTCGCTCTAACGGGTGGAGGTAAGATATCGGCGCGAAAGGGGAATGGCGGAAAGGTGGGGTCATGCAACCTGCCTCCAACTATGGAACTCATAGAAGGAGCCGGCTCGTGAATGATTTGGATGAGGTGATTGCGTTCGCGAACCATTTGCTCCAATGTCTGAAATGCAAAAACTACGAGTTCTGTTGATTGCGAATAGAGGCGAGATCGCGGTATGTGGCGCTGGAGCCGCGGAATTGCCCCGTTATCGATAACAACCTCCGACTGACATTGCGGGTACAGGTGCGCATCACCAGAACGGCCAAAAGACTCGGCATCAAGACCATCGCCATCTATTCAGAAGCCGATGCCGCGTCGCAGCATGTCCGAGATGCCGACGAAGCAGTTTTGCTACCAGGAAGCAACGCGACTGCATATACTGATGAGGCAGCCGTACTGCGCATAGCTAAGGAAAGGGGCGCGCAAGCAATCATACCTGGATATGGGTTCCTGTCAGAGAACGCCCATTTCGCGCGTCTGGTCGGTGATACAGGTCTCATCTGGGTCGGGCCATCATCGGACGCCATCGATGCCTTTGGTGTTAAGCACACCGCCCGAGATCTGGCGGAAAAGGCTCATGTTCCCATCGTACCCGGGACGAAAGGCCTAGTCGAGAACGAAGAGGTGGCAGCGAAGGAAGCCGAGCGCATTGGGTTTCCTGTCATGTTGAAAGCGACCGGGGGCGGTGGTGGTACGTCATATTCGTTCGTGAACAACATGTGAGATACACGCCGACGTCTAACATCGATGTTTAGGAATGGGACTAATCACTTGCAACAACGCCGAAGAGGCTCGCGACGGCTTTCGAATGGTGCAATCTAGAGGAGAAACGCTGTTCAAGAACCCCGGAGTTTTCATCGAGGCCTTCTATCCTGCCTCTCACCACATTGAAGTCCAGGTGTTCGGTAACGGCCAGGGTCAAGCCATCCACTTCGGCGAACGCGAATGTTCCATCCAAAGACGACATCAGAAGGTCATTGAAGAATGCCCAAGCCCGTTTGTAGAGAGGCATCTCGAGCTGCGAAAGAAGCTGGGTGAGGCCGCGGTACGCCTCGCTGAGTCGATCAAGTATGGTTCTGCTGGTACCATCGAATATCTCGTCGATGATAAGTCTGGCGATTTCTTCTTTCTGGAGATGAATACGCGACTCCAGGTTGAGCACGGCATTACGGAGCTTTGCTACGATATCGACCTAGTAGAACTCATGCTGAAGCAAGCAGATGCACAACTAGCAGGCAAAAACGGGCTGGATGGCAAGACGTTGAAAGACATGCAACCATCAGGGCCGAGAGGATCGGCTATCGAAGCTCGTGTTTACGCTGAGAATCCGCTAAGAGACTACGCACCGTCGCCCGGTCTACTGCAGAAGGTAGCCTGGAAAGATGTCCCTGGCAGTCGAGCCGACACGTGGGTCTTCACTGGAGTCCGCATTACTCCAAATTACGGTACGACGCCCTTTCTCTCTTTACAGGAAACGCAAATCCTATATCGACATCAGAACCCTGATAGAGTAATTCAGTTCCTTACTAACGATGACCAGATCCTTTGATAGCGAAAGCGATGGTCCATTCTCCATCCAGAGATGAGGCAATCGCGTCAATCAGTGAGCTGCTCACTCAATCTACCATCTGCGGTCCCCCTACCAATCTCGAATTCCTCGCCAACATACTGGACGATTCGCGCTTCAGGAACGGCAACACCATGACCAGCTTCCTCACAGACTTCAAGTACTCGCCTCAAGCTATCGACGTAATCTCGGCTGGAGCATACACTTTAATCCAAGACCTTCCCGGGCGGCCAACAGTTGGTAAAGGTGTACCTCATTCTGGACCCATGGACCCGATCGCATTCCAGATCGCGAACATGCTCGTGGGAAACCCGCGATCAAAGGAAGCGCTGGAACTCACGCTGAGTGGACCAGAACTGAGATTTGTTGGCCCTGCTATTGTCGCGCTGTGTGGAGCTCCTATGGAAGCATTATTGGACGAAGAGACCTTTCCTATGTGGACCAGCGTAAAGATCGAAGCTGGTCAAAAGCTCAAGATTGGCAAGACGACAGGCGGGGGCTGTCGCTCATATCTTGCAGTCTTCGGGGGATTCCCGTCTGTTGCGGAATACTTCGGCTCAAAGTCGACATCGCCGCTCGTAGCGATTGGAGGCTACCAGGGCCGCGCGCTGGCACCAAGCGATCTGTTACAGACAGTGGGAGAGCTTCCAGACGCTTTCACTAGCGTTTCGCTCCCAGAAAAGCTGCGCCCCATCTACGAGTCAAGTTGGGAAATAACAGCGATGGTTGGACCCCACGACGAAGGCTACTTCGATCCGAAGTTCATCGAGGAGATATACAAGACTGAGTGGAAGGTATCTCACAACGCATCGCGGAGCGGAATCCGTCTGGTAGGACCGGTACCGAAATGGGCCCGTAAAGATGGCGGCGAAGGAGGCGCGCATCCAAGCAATCTGATAGAGTACGGCTATCCACTGGGCACCTTGAACTGGACTGGAGACGATCCGTGTATCTTTCCTGTGGACTGCCCAAACTTTGGTGGGTTCACCAGCTCTACTACAGTCGTTAAAGCCGACTGGTGGAAGCTGGGCCAGCTCAAGGCGGGGAACACTGTGAAGTATGTCCGGGCTGGTCTCGATGATGCACTGAAGAAAAGAAAGAGAAATGACAGCTTTCTGGACTCAGTTCAGCAAGCCATTAACGGCGGACGCGACTTCGAAGGCATCGAGAAAATGCAAGGTGCACACTGCAACTTCCATGAGGGGGATATTGGAAAGGCGGTCATTTGGGAGAAAGAGCAGAACAATAGCACTCCACAAGTCAGATATCGTCAAGGAGGTGATGACCATATCCTGATCGAATACGGGAATGAGAATTTCGATCTCAATCACCGTTGCCGCGTCACTGCTTTGGAGAACGCATTACACTCGGACTCAACCCCCGAACTCATCAAGTCCAATCTGTATAATACCGTGGGGTGCTGTACATCGCTTCTCCTCCACTACAACGGTGCCAAGCTCCCTCGATCAGAGCTCATTGCGCACCTTCAGTCCATCGAATCAAATCTCGGCGACCTGAGAAGCACCAAAGTCCCTACCCGCGTTTTCAAGCTTCCAATCTCATTCGAATCGAAACTCCAAGACGAAGCGACTCAACGCTACATGACTAACCAGCGGCCTCACGCACCTTACCTACCCGATAATCTCGCATTCGTCGCAAAGAACAACGCTTTCACGCCACAGCAGCTGAAGGACATATACCTCACGGGCCAATTCATGGCAGTAGTTGTCGGCTTCTTCTGTGGTAACACTGTATCGCTGCCCGTAGATCCGCGCCAACGCCTCTCCGCTCCAAAGATGAACCCAAGTCGCGTTTTCACACCCGAAGGCACAGTTGGATGGGCCGGCTCCTGCATGTCGATATACCCCGTTGACTCACCTGGTGGGTATCAGATGACCGGCCGAACGGTACCATGCTGGGATTACTATTCCTACAAACCCGGTTTTGACACAAAGCCTTGGATTTTCCGTGACTTCGACATCTTGACCTTCTACCAGGTCAATGAGAAGGAGCTCGATGATCTACTAGGCAAATTCCGAGCAGGAAAGTACCAGTGGGAGTACGAAGACGTGGAGTTTGATATGGCGCAGCACAACGAGCTTCTAGAGAAGACGAGCGATGAAGTCAGGAAGATTAGGGAGAAGCAAGCGGTTGCCCAGGAAGAGATGACGAAAGCCGAGAACGAGAGTTTAGAACGCTGGAGGAAGGAGAAGGCTGAGAGTCAGGTTGACGAAGGGACCGTGGAGAAGCTGCTGGATGATCCGGATATTCTTGGGGTTGAGGCGCCGGTCGACGCGAATGTGTGGAAGGTAGAAGTTAGCGAGGGCGATGACATTGGAGATGAGAGCGTGGTAAGTACATTCATGTGGTTGTTTATCTGGCATTGCTAATATGATATAGATCGTCATTCTTGAAGCGATGAAGCTGGAGATTGCGGTCAAGACGCCAGACACGCTGGCGAAAGCGGGCAAGCTAAAGGTTGAGAAGGTTTTGGTGAAACCAGGAGATACTGTGACAGCTGGAGGACATCTGGCATTGTTACGCAAGCGCTAGCTGGGGAATGTAGTTCATTCACTGTATTTCATGCATCAGAATGACATGCGTGTAAACAATACGTAGCCACCTTCCCACATCGCCCAGTATCAAGCTCATGTCGTCTCCAACGAGCTAGAACTCCAGTTCCTTCAAGTTGAGACCAGTGCCGCAGCTTGTCTCTTTAGTCGGTTTCATATCTGCCCGACCCCAGTCGTAGATTCCGCCACGCTCTACGAAAGACTTCTTGTCCCAAACGATTTGCTGCATGGCCTTCTCAACTCCAACATCCAAGATAGACGCGCTCGTCGTCATCATGCCCTCGCCCTTGTCCATGAAGCGCATGTACTCATCGAGCAACAAGTAGCTACTGGCCATCGAGTTATTGTCTTCGGGTACGTAGCATGATAAGTGCTTGTGGCGATCGCAGAAGGTGCGCCATTGTTCTTCAGTGACCAGAAACGTCCTTGCATCGCGCTTCCGTG